TATACTTTTGTTAGTGATGCCATACCTGTAATGTCATGCTCAAGGAACAGGTGATAAGTGATGTCATACCTGTAATGTCATGCTCAAAGAACAAGTGATAAATGATGTCATACCTGTAATGTCATGCTCAAGGAACAGGTGAGAGTACAGTGAATGATATTCTTGGCACTGCCTTCGTAGCCATTTCATGACATCGGCATTTGTCCAGAAGAAGACAGCTTTTGGTCGATTTCTGCTTTCTTTCTGAGCATCCTTATCTCTTGTTGGACTAGAAGGACCCTGAATGATACAAAAAAGAAAAATTTTCTATCAATCTAGTTTTGAACATTTTACTTTGTATACTAAGTGCATATCCAGAAATACAACCTGGAGTGAGTATAAATATATTTATACAAATAACACGTGTACATTATTTGTAAGACAAAAGATAGATCTGTGTCAAGATGCAACAATGTCTTCACTCTTAAAAAAAAAAAGGTGATTGAAGGCCAATGTGGATCAAGTATCTTCAAAAGGTAGATCTTGAACTAAACATCATCCACACAAAAAGAACTTACAACAATGACTCTCCCTACACAGAATGTGGATCAAATACCTTCAAAACGTAGAATTTGAATTGAACAACATCCACACAAAAAGAACCTATAACAATGACTCTTCCTACACAGAATGTGGATGAAATACCTTCAAAAGGTAGATCTTGAATTAAACACATAAAGAGTACCTATAACAATAACTCATCTCCATACTTTATCAATTTGTAAGTTTATCATTAAATATTTTTCTGGTTGTTTTGTCTTTGATAAAAGTGTTTATTTCATTGGTAGTTTGGCAGTTGTTGTTTTTTCTAATTGGTACTTGTTAAGTTTTATTTTTGTTTTTCGTGGTATATCTAATTAATGAGATTCTGTTTTAAGCACATTCTATGTATGGATAATAGTTTTTCTTCTTTAAAGTTACTAGTTGTTGTTGCATGTTGGAAATAATTTTCTCCGATACTTATTTTATGCTGTTTTCCTTGTGGTTTTGAGTTGGATGTTTTTAATGCACATTAGCAAATTTTCTGTTTTTCTGATTTGTTGGAAGAATATGTTCACAAAAACATATAGTAAAAAGTATGTTTGTTTTTGAAATATTATTTGAGGAATTACTCAAATATTTTTCTGTGCATCATATACTGAGTGGAAATAAGAATTTTTTTTTATAAATTCATTTTTATGATTTACATAACTATTACAGATATTTCTGGATACAAATTTAGCTTCTTATTGTTTAATTTAAAAACTACTCTGTTATTTTTATAGCGTTATTTGGTTAGGTAAGAATTTGTTGATGGTGCTAAAGTAGAAGACATTATAGACGATGTTGACAGTTTAGTTGCTGGTATACCATCAAACATTTTCTTGTAGTGCTTTCTAGGGGTACACTCATGGGATACCACATCATGTCTCAACCAGGGTATACTCTTCACCCAGAATAAATGGGAAGGAAAGACAAAAGAACCCCCAAGTGTTGCAAGGGTGAGTGGAATTTTAGCATGACCAGCAAAGCACCAGCACACAAGCCAAGAAATGTAATGTGGTTAGGGTGCAGTCAGATTGTACAGGGGGTGATGAACCTGTCCTGCTGTAGGAGGAGGGCTGTTTAAGGAATGACCCACACTACACATATAGTGCCACCATTACCCTACTGCCCACTGTACTGTGCACAATCAGTGAAGAACTCTCCCAGGCCCATCACACTAGGAACTGGTAAATGGCAAGGTTCTCCCATGCTCCACTTGAAGAAGGGGGAAGAATTCACACTGGGGAGACCTGGAGAAGTGCCTAGATCCCCATCAAATGTCTGATGGAAAGGTCCTTTACTGGAGACAGTGTAATGGGTAAAACAAAATGCAAAAATCTTGGCAGTAATTGGGGTTTAAAATCTTTCAAGCCCTACAGGAGCTTGAAAGTACCAGGGGCAATCAGGAACCTCAGTTTCTCTTCACCCTAGTCACAAAAGGTGATTATGCTCTAAAGTGGGTGTGAGAAATATTTGAACTAAAGGCCAAATTTTTGAAAAGTGGGCAGTCACTTCCTTGGTGCTGGCTTTTTCCCTGATAGTCCAATTTTAATACCACAAGGATACTTCTAATGATCCTGCAAACACCCCATCACGACAATGGGCACTGGTAGAGCCAGAGTGAATGGGTTGAGTGCTTTCTATTACCTCTTGCCAGATGCAGAATTTGGGAAGTAAGCATACCCTGGGGGGGGGGGGACAACACCAGCCACTTGGTGGGGTCCTATAGAAGAGAAGAGGGTTATGAAGAAAAAAATATACTTAAGGAGGTCAAAATAGCACAGGAGAGGAAACAGCCAAATGATGATGATGGGAGACAAACATAAAGGATCTTGCCTGTGAATTGGTGAAAGCAAGACACAGGATAATGAGACAGGTGTGATGCAATGAAATGTGAAAAAGCCTATGAGCATCAATATCTATGGAAGAATACACCAATCAGAGGAGTTGTCAAGTCCATCAAGGGTAGAAAGTGAGAGGTTGAGAGGTCCCTGGACAAAGTGTGGTCCCAATGTAGAAAAAAACGATGACAGGAACCTCAAGGAGACGTACATGCAAAGAAGCAATGAAACAGCCCAAATCAGATACAGCAGACAATCTGAGTCCAAATAAACATACAGGTGAGAAACTGAAGGGAGAGAGATAGGAAAGAAGGAATGATCACCTTTTCGAGCACCTACGTCTTAAGAAGAAAGGCATGGTTGGGGTGGAGAAGTAAGGAAGTACAGTGAAAGAATGTATGGGAAACATCAATGGCATAAACATCTGAATGACAATGATCACAGGCGGGAAGGAAATAAAGCTTCAGAGGAAGATGGTAAAAGGAACAGGAAGTCAACGAAGCACATGTAAGTGTGTGTAAAACCACATTAGGTCCCAGTCAGGCACAAGACTACAATGAGAGGGTTGGTGAAGAAGGAAGGATCTGAACAAAGTGGAGAGGACAGGAAAAAAATAAACCTGGTGGTAACAGGAAAGGCAAAATGTAGTTGATAATTGCACCTGATAACCAGCAATGGTGGAAATCAACAATCCATGGTCAAACAAATGTGAATAAAAGAAAGGCCAAAAGGTGGGCCACAGTAGGACAGCCCAGAGTAAGTGAGTGGCAAATGGACCAACACTGAAAAACTTGCCACTTCCATTAATAAACAGACAGAGTTGAAGGATGACAAGAATAGGGTAAGATAAAGGCTATGCAGTTGGAGAGGCCGGCTCTGTGGGTAATGGACCAGAGAAATCCTACAAGTGAAGATGAAGGGATGATAGTCTTAGGTGAAAGAAAGATGTGTATTATTGGAGTAAGAAAATGGAAATGAAACGAGGGGGGGGGGGGGGGGGCTGGACACCAGTTGATAAAACAGGGTTTTGTTCCCAAAAGAGGTACCAACAAAGAGTACCATGTATCAAAGAGAGGACATGAGAGAGAAGATGAAAGTGGATATACAGAAAAAAAATGGATACCAGTCCTGGCCCAGAGACAAAGGATGAAGAACTGGGGAGCAGAAAAGAAGAAGTTTGGTGTTCAGAGAAATAGCAAGAGGTGTGCCCAGTCAAGAGCAAACCCAACGAAAAATCTGAAGGTGGATAGACTACTCCATAAGTAGAATCCTGTCTGGTGGAGAAAGGCAATTTACCATCAAGTTCAGAGCCATTAGCACATGAAAAGCTACAAGGTGAACCCAATAGGATAGAGCCAAAAACAGTGGGTCAAATATGTGGAAACAAAGAGTCCTAGAATAGGTGCCCCCCTGACGATTGATATAAGAAACAACCAGGGAATTGTTGGAGTGGATCATGACCAATTGATCCATGAGAAAAGGGAGGAATGGTAACATGCTCGGTTGGGAGTATGAAGTATGAGTATGTTGATATGAAATGAATGTTCCTACAGAGCTCACATACCTAAAGTCATGACATTGTTCAGAAATGTACCCCAGCCCAACAGAAAAACATCTGTGAAGAGATGTAGGTAGGGGGGGGGGAGGCAAGGGAATGCCACTGTGAGTATTTGAACAATTGAGTCAACAAGATAAGTTCTTGAGAAAATGAGAGGGGAGGTGCACAATCGAGGACAATAGTTTATGAGAAAGGTTCCACTAGTCTCACAATGTCCACTGAAGAAGGCACATGTATTCACGGCCAAAACGAACGAGCAGTTTGAAGGAAGCCAGTCCTCAAAGGTGAAAGAATTTCACGTAAATGAAAGGCATGCATCTTGGCAAAAAGACATTTCATTGCTTGTAGGCAAAGTGGTGAAGGATCACTAGAAAGAGAAACCGAAGCTAAGGGGTCCACCCCCAAGCAGGTAAGAGAGATTCTAAAGGAATCAAGGAATGGAAATGAAGAATGGATGTAAGCTGGGACAAAAGGGTCAAGTAAACAAGGAGAATGAGGCATGTTAGTGTTAGTGCACAGTTGCTCGAGAAAAAAGAATGCAAGAAACCCTGTCAAGTGAAGGAGGGTAGACAAAGTAATATCGAGAATGGGTTTCATATAGTACAGCATGGGAAGAAAAGAGAAAGAAAAAACATATCTGCAAAATCATGTCAAGGAAGAGAATTAAAAGAGTGGGAATTTTACTCCACAGATAAAGCTAACCCTCGTAAAAGAAATAGATGGTCAAAGTCATCATCATCCTGGCCAAATGGATGAAAAGAGGAGGCCCAGCATACATAAAGTTACCTACAAAATACCAAACAATGACTGTCATAGACAACAAACTTTTAGTAGCAACAGGTCCTGTATTAGTAACATTGTCACTATCATGGGAGGAAGTTACTGTCACTTGAGAATTCATAATGGTGGGAAATCAAATGTGTTTCTTTCTTCTAAGTGAAAGTAAAGAAACTATACTGGTTATGGGAAAAACTAACTTGAAAGTTATAATTATTGCAAATCCCAAATAATTTATTAACAGTTTAAGAACATGTCTGTTCTAGACAATGCTGAGGAAAAGAATGAAGTTAATTCACGTGTAAGTGGTTAGAGGGAGCTAGTGTACAAGGACATTGTGTCACACTCCAATTGATGGAGGTGTATCATAACATGATGAATACGTCATGTACTAGCATAAGTTAAACATGGAAGATAGCCCAAGGCTAGTGACATGCAAACCTCACAGGCAGATACATGAAGGAATCTGAGTATCTATCAAAGAAATGGAAAACCAAAAAGAAGGTTAAATTTATATGGGTTATGATCAGGGGTTTTTC